TTCCTTACTCACTGTGTCGTGGTCCAGTGTCACGACGAGCTTCGCTATCAATTCCTTCTCTTCCGACCTGAATGAAAATAGTGTTACATTTTATCAATGGAACAATGAGTCTTTAGATACGGTACGAAATTTCATTCAAGACAGCTGAGGATAAAAAAAAAGCAGTGACGACTTCGATTCTTTCGAAATTTTCCTACATGCATCGAGAAGAAACTCGCTGCAAAATAAGTCACCGGACCGAAATCGCTCTTCCGCCTTTGTAAAACATTGAAAGAAGGAAGGATTTCATGAATATGATTCTATGAATGGTCCCGGATTTTGAAACAAATCGGAAAAAATCTCTCACAAGAAAATTCAGCAGGATTAAATCAGCTCACTCAACCCGACGCGGGCTGCTAATTATCGAACCATTAATTTTCATATAAAATCCCTAATTTTTGAATAGAACCCCATAGAATCGAACGAACCCTTAAAAGATCCGACGGCAAGAATATTGTACTGCACATTATTCATGGCAAAAGGCATGAGAGCATAAAGTCCCACGGAAATCAATCGCAAAATCGCCAGAATCGTTGATTGGCGAAGAATTTTTGGTACATTAAAAATAATAAATTAAAATTCGACGTTTTTTTTTTTTTACAAGATCAAATGATCGATTTCTCACTTTGGAGAATCAGAAACGGATGAGAGAAAAAATAATCACTTCGTTCAAGGTTTGCGATGCATGAATCCCACGTAAGCATATCACAAAGTCTACGCGCTAATTGCGTCGCTGATTTAACAATGGGGGGTCCGTATTCTTTCATCACAAAATTGGATTAACGTTCTCGAGCAAGAGACTTCATCATATTTTTTTAGATATGATTGGACTCACTCTTCAAAGTCCGAAACAGAGACGTCTTCAAAGCCAGGAACCGATGTGAGAGCTGAAGTCACGCTGCGTTTGACACGCTCAGATAGTTCATTGAATTCCGGCGAATTTTTTCGCGGGATTTTGAAATCATCCCCAACGTCGATGAACTTCAGCTCGACATCCATCATCATTTGGGGCTTGGCCGTGGTCGTCGTTGTCGTCCTCGCTGTTGTCACACGAACTTTGGACCCTGTTATTCATGCGAAAAACAAAATTAAATCTTTTTCGTCAATTTATTTTTGGCACAGTATTGATCATACGCCGCGCGTTTCTTCCAAAAAAAATTCGTGGCCAAGATCAGCCAAGATGAGATAATTCATTATTTTTACTCAGTTAAAATAACTGAGTAAAAAAATGAATTATCTCAAATATACTTTTATTTTATTTTTTAATGATTTAGAAATGATTTAATGATTTTTAATGATTAACGAAATATGGAACAAAAACTGCTTGAAGTTAAAAATACTACGCACATCTTCAGTTATTGGCAACTTTCTCATTGTCAATCTAAAGAGAATTTAATTAATTCCAGCCTAAATAATGAATTTTTCTTCAAAAATAAGAGACAGGAGGCGTGATTATATTGTTTTTCCGGGCATCTAAAAGATCACACATGATGAGTTCTGTACAAAATTTCGCATATTTTGCGGCCTGCACAGATTTTTTCCTGAATAAATGACTTCTCTGCTTCGGAGTTGGGATTCGGACTGTAAACAGCAGCAGTCACGTAAATACAGTGCATAAAAAAAAAACGCGTCCTTGTCCGTTCTGTATTCAAAAATGTTCCACAATATAAAAAAAAAAACGCTGAAATTTCCATAAAGATGCACCGATTTTATATTATACTGTACATACTAACCAGTTTCATCTGAACTGTCGCCAGGAACATCGGCACCAGAGCGACAAGAACGAATGCAGATCTTTTGATCAGAAACTTCTGGACGTGCGTCATGTTTNTGAGGAATGAATAACAACATCAAGCCATGAATAAATAACTGAAGCTGAAAATCATCTTGTCTAAAAATAGATTGTTATTGACGCCAACAAACCTGTGAGTCTTTGGAGACACGTGGACGGGTGAACTTGACTGTCACGACGCCATCTTCGAGAACGACGGACGTGTCACTTATGTCCTGGTTGCTGTCGAGTTCCGGAGCTGTGTATCCCTTTATCCACATGTCGGCGATGAAGGCACGACCTGACCTATCGATCCATCCCAACACAGCATCGCTTTGCCCCTATAAAACAATACAGCACAGTAAGTTCCTTATTCCGATGAATCTAAAATATTTTTTGGATGAAATGGCGGAAAAATTCGACCGAATTCCGAACAGCGGCCAAGCGAAATTTTTACGAGTTCTTTTTTTTTCGATGCAGACGTTCAATTGCGGGAAAACCTTGATTTGTAAAATGAACTTCTTTTAGACATATAAGGTACATTTTTCATCACACGATTTTGTTTGTATCGGTGAAATGAAATTCATTTAACTGCATTTAATCGAATAATACTGTATAAGGCTTGTCATTACTTATAATTTCTTTTAGTTTAGAAAAAAAGTCAAGCACAAACAATGACAGCAGAATACCGAAATTGATATTTGAAAAAAAGTGTATCTTGAAACACCTTGAACATTTCTCTGCCATTTCCCCTGATTTTTTCAGGAACCCAAACATTTTTCTAAGCCGAAGAGTCGTTCAATTCTTCCTTCTCCTTCCTTCGAATCTCGATAGATACTTAAAAAGCTTTAAAAACCTTTTTAAAAAACGTAACCGGTGATACCGTCATACCCATTTTATTCAAACATCTATCATTGCTTTTTAAATCTAAAAATTACAAATTTGCAGATAATAAAGCGCAAAACACAGGGTCATTTATTCATGAAAACGTGCGGCACAATCTCGGCGGCGAACGAAGATTATCACCAGGTATCGATCGTTTTAGAAAAATTGTGGACAGAGAAAATGCGCCAGTTTTACAAATTTTTGCAAAGGCAGCGAAAAATAAAAATCTGAAATAAGGGTCAATGTTGCAATTTGCATCATAAAATCCGTTTCCAGCAATTACCCGCCAATTCTGCCGGCGAAGGACACAAGTTTGTGGTCATTTAAAAGAATTGGCAACAAATCACAGTACTTCTACTTTACTTTAAAAGATAAATTTTGTAACCTTCGCTCGCAATTCAGCCTAGAAGTACTATAGAAAATGAATCCCACCGCAAAATTCCGCGCCTAATATCACTGCCTCTCCATAAAAAAAATGTAATTTATGCATAAATAAATGTCAAATTTCAAGAGACCAGTAGAAAAAATGAGTCAGAGAGGTTTTAAGTCAGGGAAAGGAGCATTTTCGTTTAGGGAATCTAAGAGTAATTAGAGGAAGTAATCGTAATAAGTTACAAGTACATTCTGGGTCTCAAATTGATTCTTAAATGAGTAGATAGGATGCTGAACTCGGATGAGGAAAAGGGTTAATTTTTCCATTCCTTTCAAATCACTCCCTTCAATGTTTTGTGCTTTTATCTTTCCTGCGTCTATAAAATAATGGCCAAAAGGCCCCCAGAAAATTGGATTTATGGAGGTTTGAGAGGGAAAACCTTCAAGTTGAGAAGGTTTTTAATGCATTGTTTATACGGGAATTGAGACAGGACTTGAAAATAAGTTGACATATAGGGAGGTACTGTATTCGACTCGGGAAGGCTTGAGTTATCGAGGCTAAACTGTAAATATACCAGGGTTCAAACATAAGTTCTCGGAATAGGAATTAAAATGGCGCACAATCCAGCTGAAACAAAATTATTCCTTAGGGAAAACATATTCTTTGGCATACAAAAAAAGCAGCCCTGTTTGACAATTTTTTTGAATGTTTTGCAAATCACCCTGGCAGAGTTTTGCTCTCCACTCAAAAGATGAGGCGCCCATCCTGCAGATTGTCTTTCTTTTTAGCCCAGGTTTCCCCTCAGAATTTTTGAAATCAACGTGGCATTAATTCCAAGGGCTGCCTCCAGGTCTTCCAAGGTAATTCCGCCATTTTCATAAACAGCCGCCACATTGGCCGCCACTTTGGCGGCTGTTGATGAAAATGGTGGAATTACGATTCAACAAAAAAAATTGTCAAACAAGGTTGATTTTTTTCGTGCCAAAGAATATGTTTTCCCTGAAGAATATATTTTTTCAGCTCGATTGTGCGCCATTTTAATTAATATTCCGAGAACTTCTGTGAGAACCCTCGTACACACAACGTATTTATTATGAAAAATTTGCGCATACAGTACATACCATTCTAGTGTCTTTGCTGAATCCGATTCCTGTCCAGCGATTCTTGGTGTGGCGGGAAGTGATGGTGAACTTGACCTTGTCCGTGTCTTCGTCGTATTCCCACTTGGCCATGTACTCGCAATCCGACAAGCCAGAGCACGTCCTGGGGTAACTGAATTGACCCCCGCAAATGTCTGAGTCTTCTTCGTCTGCAGCGGTTTTCTCTTTTGCGTCCTCCTCTGTACGAAATAAAGTCGCGTTAATACTGAGAACATCACTAGCATAAAGTTGGGCAGTATTATACACACAGCATAGATCACATAGTTTCCTGGATTCCAGACTGCATTTTTGCCACTCAGGAGGGAAAAAAACGTATTCGTCGCAACTTTGTCTTCGTAATGAAGACAATAATTCAACAAGCTGCATCGTTCGTGTCTTAAAATTCTTTACGATATCTGCTTCGTTTCGTGTAGCTTTAATTTTTTTAAATTTATTGAAGAGGGAATTTGAAGAAGTTTCGGGCGCGGTTTGTGGATAAATACCCTGCTTTTTTAGATAAAAATGAAAACAGGGCGGGAACCCTCTACAGTAGAAAAATTTAAGGGACGATAAAAATGCATTGTGGAGATAATTTTATTGCAGAGAACCCCGATAACATAAGGAGAAAAAAAGCCGTTACGCACTTCAAAAAATCGTTGAAAATCGTTGTAGATCAGATTGCTACATACAGTGAATGAATGAATGAACAGAAAATATATACAGTATAGAGAGAAAGAGAGTCCACCTGCATATCGGATTTTGAATAATTGTGGAAAAAGTCCAATGGTTTAGAAACGACATCTTATTCATTATTTCGCACAGCTTTTCTGTTTTTTTTTTTCCTCGAAGAAGGCGATTGAAATTTCCTGGAGTTTAGTTCACAAAATGAGACGATAAAAGAGGCTTTATACAGAGAAAAACGTTATTCCGAGAAAATCGGCGACTGTATACCTGCATTAAAAATCTGTTCCGTGTACAATATATCTTTTTGAATGACACCTGCTCCATCGTGTTTCATTCCGTGGCAATCCTCTACAAAATTCGTCCGCATAAACATGCAACACGGCTTCCGATTCTTTAGAAGGATGATTTTATTCAACCCCTTCTGGTGATACAGCACTAAAGTTTCGAGTAGCAAACTTACATAGCCAAAGTATACAGGCAAATAAAATTCTATATAGAACAATTTTACGACTGATCAGCAAAAAAACTAACCGATTTCCATCCTCCAAAACGCATTCAGTATCAATTCGCAATTTTCGAACTAAATCTTTCAGGAAGTTGAATGACCCGACTGAAGTTGTTATCGAAGAGAAGGGCATTTCATTTCGACAAAAAAAGTGGCGGGCTTCAGGATGGATATTTATATATATATATCGTACTCACGATAGAAATTCAGAGAAATAACGCCTCGCTGGTCCTTTTTCCCGTGGTATTTGATTTCGTCCGGTCGATAAAAGTCGGGATCACTGGCTGCACCTTGCTCCAGTCCGGAAGCAGGGGAATGCACGTACATCCCGGGCTCTTGACCACGAGCCCAAATGACTGTCATTTCATCGTCCACGATCGAGTGGTCAGTCGGTTCACTCGCTACATAAATAAATACGCATTTGCATATAAAAATCCGATCAACACAAATACAGCAGTCGTACTTCTCCGAGTCGAATTTCAAGGCCCCAGCAAAAAAAGTTCCGAGTCAGGAAAAAAAGCATTTTTTTAGGCGGAAGCATTGAAGAATTGCAAGAAATTGTCAATGGTAATATTCTGGGCATTAAACTGCTTCTTAAATGAGTTGAAAGGATGCTGAAGGCTCATTCGCCCAATACGTCTTTTACTTCTTTTCAAAACACATCGCGTTACTTATTTTTCTCTCTCTTTCCTCTGTGGAGAAAATATCGACCAAAAGGCTTCAGAAAATTCGAGTTACAGACTTGCGAGAGGAAAGGCCTTCGAATTAGAGGCCACGATTTCCGTGCATGGTTTCTAAGGGAATTCAGACAGGGACTTGAAAAAAAATTCGACTTAGGGAGGTTCGACTTATCGAGATTCGAACATAAAATCATCCTTCTACTTTGCTGATGATCTGCCTTTCCAAGAACCCAAAATTTCAGAATAAGTATAAGTTTTTCCCAGGGAAGGCTTGATGTTGTCAAGGAAACGTGAACAAGGATCATCTGTAATGTACACGGCATTCCTTATCTGCATATTATACTTCGATTTCGTATTATTTGAATAATAGAAAACAAATGGTAAAAATGATGTACAGTATTATTTTTATGAAAACGAAGTATTTCCATTTATTTTGATTGCTCCTGTGACTTGGATATTGAAAAAACGGGGCTTCTTTTATTTAGACAAATCAAATAATCATGAAAAATATAAGCACCCTCCCAGTTTCTGAGGTCCTGAAATTAAAAAAAAAGGGTGTTCATATTGGCGTAAATACGGTACTTCTTGAAAAGCTTGAATACCCTCAATATTCAATAGAAATCTTCTAAATTCGTACTGTAAAGCCATCAGGTCATCAAAAGAGATCGAAGTGATTCGCCAAGAAAATAATGAAAGCGATCATTTTATGTTTCTAAGCTAGAGAAAAATTTTAGGGATAATTTACCGTCCAATTTCCTTCGGAAAGCAATGGTCGTGACACCATCCTCTTCAACGCCGAAAGAAGCAGTAATGTCACTTCGGAATCCCCAGTACGCATCTTCACGGGGAGTAGATCTGTAAAAGAATGAGTGTACTCAATTAAGTGAAAGAATCAAATGCACTAAATAACAAGAAAGAAATAAAGGCTTGAATAAAATTACGTACGGTGGGTCCCCACACGTATAGCAAAACTCATCCGTTCCTGGATGCGCTTCGTTTTGTGGCATTTTTTTAAAATGCTAAACGCGATTTCCCTTATTTGGTTACATATTATGAATGAATCAATCCATTCCAGAAGCTCGAAAAAACCACGTAAAAAAATTAATAACTGCATATTATGAATTTAAAATTCATCAGTGTTAAGTTTAGGTAATCCTGACAAGTTTGTGCCTTTACCGAATTTAACAAATTTTAAAAGCGAGAAGAGGAAAAATCATACCCCTCTCCTACAGATTTTCTCGCTTTTTTTTTTTTAAACTCTGAAATTTTAGCACAAAACTTGCCGAAATTCGAAAGTCAATCAGCCAAAAAATTTCGTCTAATGAGTCAAGGATTTTTTTTTCAATTTTTCGTTGTGTGAGTCTGTTTTTTTTTATGCCAGGAATCACTATATTCAAGTACGGCACAAGCTTTTCTTCTTTTTAGAGCTAGATATCAAAACAATCTTAATATCATATATACACTGAAGAAATTTTGGGAAACTGAACAATGGCTTTATCTATTTCCACTTGAATGTTAAGCACCCTGTCCATTAATGCCCTTTTCCGGTGCACAGGTGTCGCCTGCAGTTTCCATTGCTTTCTTTCTTACGTTCAAGTGAACTTAGGTTATGAAAATTTAGTCATACTTGGTTTTTCGATTCTTTTCGTGCTAGGTTTTGCATATTTTTCTTTTTCACACTTATTTTTATCCCACCAGCAGTGGGATCATCCCAGATGCAATGAAATCAAAGGGTCTTACTCAAAAGGAAAGAAAGCATTTCAGCACTCGGGTGAGAATATTCGAAGGAAAGGTCAAGAGAATCAATGAAGAAATTCCGCGAGAAAGGGGACCATCAAGCAAATAGAAATAGAATAACATGCATGATACAAACAGAAATACTCTCGAGGAATATATTGCGCAAAAATTATGTAAACGGTCGACTGAAGTACTGTACCTATCCCTGGTGTAGTAGTCCTCGATCCTATGAGCAGCTCCTCGAGCAGTGCCAATGACAATATCCGCACAATCCATGGCGTGCAAAGCCTTGTCTCCTTTTGGCGCGTAGCTGTGATCTGATCCTGTCCCCACGGGCTTCGTCACTATATATGAAGTAAAATCACATAATTACAACAAATACCATTAAAAACAATTTTCTCAGCACAACAAACTTTTTCTTATGTCCCGTCAGGAAGCCCATATCGATTGCATGTTGAAACAATCTCATAACAAACTTCCTAATTCCAGTATAAAAAACTTTTTTTTTGTGAAATGCTCAATAGATTTTCCAGTTGGCAGAAACTTCCTGCCTGAAAAAGGCACAGTCTGAAATTTCCAAACTCAAAACTGACTGTCTTTTTTTCAGCATGGATGGAAACTGCCATTATTGGCAAACATGCTTCCAAATGGTTCCAAAAATCATCATCCCAGGATTGAGACAATGAAGAGATTGATATGCAACAGATGGAATGCATGTTAAAGAGCTTTTTCTTTAAAAGATTTTTTTTTAATTTTTCAACAACTAATAAAGAATCTGAGAACGCCAGAAAGGCAAAGATCAAAAAGATTAAAGACAGGTCTGATGTGAAAAAAGTTTCGAAGTCAATAATTTTGAAAATTTCATTTTAGCAAAGTATTCAGTGTAAAAATCTTTTTCTGATGTCCTCAACAATTTTTCCCAAAATGAAATTTTACTGCATATAAAAGCATTACAAAAATCATTTCTACGGAATGGAATTGTTTTTCCTTCCGGAAATCTTTGGTATCGTAAGATATTTACCTGAACTGCTAGCCGTCGGCTGAGGTTCACTTTCCGGATCGGCCTCGGGTTCTGCCGCAGGCTCGGGTTGAGATTCCGGCTCCGGTTCGGCTGCAAAAAAGGAATTGAAAATATTCCATCAATGATTAAATCAATTCGGTTCTTCAGTCAATGCACACACATTTTTCGAAAAAATAACATTCCGGCATATGATGTACTTATACACACGATGTCAAAAAAAAACAAGCACTATACCATGTTGTGGACTGCTGGTTATATTATATTATATTTTATATATTCTCATACACCTATCCAGCAAAAATGCATTTAATTGAACGAAAAAAAATTCAGTAACCTTGTGATGGGTGCCCGAAGAATTCCATTTTAAGTTCCAAGTATGCAAAATGGCCAAGAATAGGTCATGGTATTTCATTCCAATGAATTACTGATCCATTATTATTTTTTCGTAATCCTCAAATGTTCCAAATTTTGAAGGATGGAACAAATTTGCGACCGGAAAGAGCACATTTTTTCGTCATCACAGATAAAAGACAGCCTTGCTTTCAACTGCAGAGAAAAACGTATGTTACATACAACGTACTGTACTTCCATATTCATCAAACTTCTTGAAAAATTTATTCGCAGTTGAATTTAAAAGGGGGTCAGATTGAAAAATAAATTAAAATTTAAAATGAGTCCCAAATGCAGTCCTTGTACGGGAACAACTCACACGTAAATTCATGGCCAAAAATACAGCTTCATCTGCAATGCAAAATTAAAGCGTCGTTTCACGCCCGAAGGGGGAATTCAGTGGTTTCCATTCACAAAAAAATGTATACAGTATATACATGCAGATATAAAGTAGGAACGTGTGAAGGATTATTCAAATATGCTGTAGTAGCTGATCAGCATATTATAATCAGATTCTCATTGCTTACAATGATGACTCTGGCGTTTTATTTTTTTCCTTGGAAACCGCACCTTCACGAACTTATTTTATCAGAAGTAATGACTCATATTCTTTTTCAGGGCAAGCATCCGTGAATCTGTAGAATTGTAGATGAAACAAGGACGAGAAAAGATATTTGTTGATTCTTTTTCGTGCTACTTACGTTCAGATTCGTAATTTTTTTTTTCTATTTGAGACATAAACTGGATATTTCTGCACTTGATTCCAAAGTGTCTCACTCATGCCGCCGAGTTGCACCCAAGAATTAATCCTCGAGTGTCTGATGAATCATTTTCTTCGAAGCGTTTTGTGCAAGTTTCATGCCCTATAAAAGTCAATTTTGGACGCACTTTCTAAAATATAGCTTTAAAATATTACCTTTAGAGAGGGGGCAATAAAAAACATAGATTCACCATAGATCTTCTCTCAAAGAGGCATCGTATTACAGAAAGAATTTGCATGCGCAAGAAAAATTTCAATCGTATTATTATATTTTCGAACAAAACCAAATCGAAAATAGAAATGAATCAAGAGAAGTGTAATATAATAGAATATTGTTCAATCAACTAAAACCTTATCTGGGAGCTGCAGGCTGAACACCTTGTGCTTTAATTTGGTTTCAGTAATTGCCTCACGCTGCAATTCTTACAACTGACATTTTGTTTTTGTTATCAAAGAAGGGAAGAAAGTACACGTATTTACAAAATTTGTGCAATTTTACATTTTGGGATGCATTTTATTTTCTTTCAATATCGATATACAGCTTATTTCTCTGTTTTCCATCCTGATGTGATGAAATGTGTTTGTATGGATAAGGAATGGGAGAAGAGAGGCTTTGGATGTGGGAACGTTGCTTAAACCTCGTGAATGCTGAAAAGCGGAAAATAATCTGCTTGCTGTTCAATTCAATTCAATAATACCCCCATTAACCTTATTCCGAAGACAGTAATTAGTGACAAATCCACTCACGATGAGCAGAGTCTTGTGGCTTTTCCACGGATTCTTGGGGGTGATCGTGGGCACCGCCGTCATGCGTGTCGTGATCGGCGAATTCCACGGGTCCAACGTCGGCTCTGTCGATCGGCGTCGGTTCGTCTGCCACTGGGAACGGTTGTCGAGGTCGGCTGTCAGGCTGAACACCGACTGGGGCAATCGGCCGCCAGCTGCATACAATCGAGAGAAGCATTCGGAAAATGTCAGAATCGTGTCGAATGCATATTGACAAGCTTTCATTATTAAGCTTTCATTATGTAGCCCCTTTCAATACCGGAGAAGGAAATTTACTTCACTTTTCCGTTTGTATTTAATTTCTCGAGTTTTCAGCGGAAATTTGTGTGTGTGTGTGCTCTTTGGCTTCACTTAAATTGGTATGTGCTCCTAATATATTAATCCAAGCTTTATTATTATACTTGTAAAGGACTGGAGACAAATTTAAGAACTAGTAATATCCTTAAGTCCAAATCACTGAGAGGAAGTATCATTTGCGTGACATTAAAATCGAGAATTTCATGAAAAAACCCCCAAGTCATATCAGCAAATAATTCATTGATGGAGAATGTGCATAAACGTAATTCTTGGGATTTTAAATTTTCCAAAGCGGTTTGGAGGATTTTGACTCAAAAACTTCAGTCAGACTGAAAGGAGAATTTCCGCGTTCTAACTCTAGGAATTTTTTAAATTTCTAGAGAATTTATCTCTTTTAGAGATATGATCGGATGAATCATACTTTGCACTAGCACGACGGAAAAAATATTTATCTTCTAACTTCTTAAACAATTCAATAACGAACTCATGAAAAAAAAAACACGAACAAAAAACAGGTCCAGGTTAATATCAGCAGTTCGGGCAGAATACTGTTTTTTTTTTGCATTCCAAAGTTTTAGCTCAGATGCTGGGCATGATCTCAGCAAAATAGTGTGGGAATCAGAATGATGTTGAAATTTCAGTTCCACAAGTTTCGACAGTCGGGAAAGATTGAAAGAATGAATGTCTCA